ATCTTTACGAATATCAACTGTTTTTTCTACAACATGTTACTTATATTTATCTTTACGAATATCAACTGTTTTTCTACAACGTGTTAAATATATTTATCCCTACGTATATCAACTGTTTTTTCCACAACGTGTTTACCTATATTTATCCCTACGAATATCAACTGTTTTTCTACAACGTGTTAAATATATTTATGCCTACGTATATCAACTGTTTTTTTCCACAACGTGTTTACCTATATTTATCCTTACGAATATCAACTGTTTTTCTACAACGTGTTAAATATATTTATCCCTACGTATATCAACTGTTTTTTCTACAACGTGTTAAATATATTTATCCCTACGTATATCAACTGTTTTTTTACGTAGGGATAAATATATTTAACACGTTGTAGAAAAACAGTTGATATTCGTAAGGATAAATATAAGTAACACGTTGTGGAAAAAACAGTTGATACTACAACGTGTTTACCTATATTTATCCCTACGAATATCAACTGTTTTTCTACAACGTGTTAAATATATTTATCCCTACGTATATCAACTGTTTTTTCCACAACGTGTTTACCTATATTTATCCTTACGAATATCAACTGTTTTTTCCACAACGTATTACTTATATTTATCCTTACGAATATCAACTGTTTTTTCTACAACGTGTTAACTATATTTATCCCAAAACTCAAATCCTGTCATGTACAACGGAAAGAGGAACATATACTTACTTCCTGTTTTTTGAGGAACATATACTTACTTCCTGTTTTTTTTCATCGAATATATCTTGTCTTCAGAACGTTTTGGGCAGATGCTGTTCATCCGGTGGCGATGTCAGTAGAATGTCTAGACATTCACAAAGAGTTCTTCATTCTTATATATCCATACAAAAGCTAGGGCTATAACCGATCACAAATAATAGTTTTTAATACTCGTTAAATACACTTTTTGTGCAGTTTTAACTTATCGAAGATTTTGCTCCACTACAGTCCCGCACCAACAACTAATCAAAACTTAGCTTCAGTACAGTCCCGCGCTAACAACTAATCAAACTTAGCTCCACTACAGTCCCGCACCAACAACTAATCAAAACTTAGCTTCAGTACAGTCCCGCGCTAACAACTAATCAAACTTAGCTCCACTACAGTCCCGCACCAACAACTAACCAAAACTTAGCTCCACTACAGTCCCGCACTAACAACTAACCAAAACTTAGCTTCAGTACAGTTCCGCGCTAACAACTAACCAAAACTTAGCTCCACTACAGTCCCGCACTAACAACTAACCAAAACTTAGCTTCAGTACAGTCCCGCACTAACAACTAACCAAAACTTAGCTTCACTACAGTCCCGCGCTAACAACTAACCAAAACTTAGCTTACTACAGTCCCGCACTAACAACTAATCAAAACTTAGCTTACTACAGTCCCGCGACTAACAACTAACCAAAACTTAGCTCCACTACA